GAACATACCCAATTCGTATTGTATTATTATTATTATTATTAATAATAATAATTATTGTAACATTATTATAACGTTATTATTATGCTCGCACCAAAGTAGATATTATTATTATTATTTATTATTATTATTATTATGACATTTTTTTTTTTTTTAGAATAGACATATGTTTTATTTATTTTTTTTTCTCTCTCTCTACTTCTCTACGGATATAATAAATATTTATAAACGAACGTTGTATTTTATTTTTTAGTCTGTAAAGTTGTAAAATACATAATATATTATTTTAACCCAATTATACAATCTTGTGATAAAAAAAAATTCCTCGGATTTTCGTAATATTATTATTATTATTATAATATTAGCGGACGGATGCGTACCAGTGTAAATCTGTTTTGTTATTATTATTAATTTTTTTATTATTATTATTATTAGTTAAGACCAAAAAAAAATATCACGTTAATTAGTCATCACCACCATTATTATTGTGTAGATATAGTTAGTTATTAATGATCAACTAGATACTTGTTTGTAGTTATATTTTCCCAGACGCGAAACAATTTTTATTGCGATTATGTATCGTATGTATTCTCTAAGTATACTATTTATATTTATATTGAATTTAATTATTACAATTATTTACCAAACGTTACATTTATATGAAATATAAGTTTGAAAATCCCAAATCCATTTTCGATATAGTATATTATACATTATTATTCTGTTATTATATTATCTACTCGTAATACGTATACAATACATATTGTAACAATACTTATATTAATTATACTTTTATTAATTATTTTGCTAAACAATTAATGTGTTAAATTGAATTTATTTATTAAATATTATATAATAATGTGTTTTTTTTTTCTCTCGAAATAAATCAATGTCATATTTATTATCCTCGGTATCGTTAACGTTGTTTGTTCATGAATATGTTTCAACGACAAAAATAACAAAATAATAATAATAATAATAACACTTACTAATAATTTATTATGCCGTGTAGTTATCTTGTGGTTTGTGCGCGAAAAACGCATTTTAGGCGATGTCGACCTCTAATCGGATCGAACGGGTTCGTACACAATAAACTACTGTAAAACTTGTAAGAGTCTACCCCTTTAATTCGGACGATCAAACGAACGCGTGTATTAAAGTTCAACGTACCGGCACGCACGTGAAACACACCGGAATGGTTTTTAGTTTTAAAAGAAGAGCAGTTATGGGGATGGATTTATTTGTTAAACAATTTTTAGAAACGAAGTGTATGGAAGGAGAACTAATGTAGAGATTGAGTAAAACGAATTTACCTCAAAGAAATGCTTGCCGGGCTTATGAAAAAAACGACTCGTTTTTGAAAAAAACCGTTATAGGGAAGATAAATGGGAATAGACTTAGGGTAAGACAGAGTTCATGTTGGTTTAGAGTAATGAGTAACTCGGATGAAAATAATAGATAATAGCGTGGATAGAGACGGGAATGCATTAGAGATAGCGAAAGTCTTTTAAGGGTCGTTTAAAAGCTTAAGAAAAATAAGAAAGAATTACAACTTAAACTTGTTTTGGTACAACACTATACTTCGTGGCATTATCATTCTAATTCAAATAAAAATGTTTTGAAATATGAAAAAAAATTCTCGTGTATGTGGTATAAGCGTTATTAAAAATGGACATACCTAGCTAGGTCATTTTTTACCAAAACATGTCCGTTCGGATAAGTGCCTCAGTTAGACGTCTTCCATTTAGACTTCAAATTATATTTTCGTTTTCTCGCGCGTTTCATTTGTAAACCGATTGCAAACGGATTAGCAAACAATATTATTATATTTGTATAAAAAATATAATAACGTCGAGTCGAACAGATTACAATAATTTAATGTACCCGACAACGTCGTCGTGCGATTGCCCGAGTAATAATTTTCGTATGAAAAGAAAATTAGTCAAAACGTAATTTCTGCAGTTACAAAGAGATAAGGCACGTGTTTTATTTATACCGTCTGCGGGTGTGACATTACTGTTATTTTTTATTATTTCTAATTGAATTTTATTACCGAAAGTATGTTAATTTTAAACCCGACAGTAGATGAACACACGCGCGGAAAAAACGAAATAAAATACGATTACCTAATAATCGGTGGACAGATACAGCTGCCGAGGAAACGGTGATAATAGTTATTCATTTATTGCACTGTTTATTGTACAACCAAAACAATGTATAAAATAAAATTTCGTTAAAATTATTTTTAATTTTTAAACACATCACGGCCGGCTCATGTTTTATGATTTCGCGAGATTTCGTTTTGATAAAATATCAAAATTAATTATGTCAGCAAATCTATTTAAGGGTCCGGCCGACTCGTGGATTTTTGCAAAATTGTTTAAACAAAATATTTAAAACGTTTTCAACGAACAAAACGGTCCGATCAGTTTTAATTGTGGCCGCGGGACGTGTTCGGCGAATCGCATTCGATTTTTCGAGATCTTGTTAACGGGTCGCGCGCGCGGGCGTCTTAAACGAAAACGAACAACACGAGCAGAATGTTGCATACCTATCATTCGTTGACTTAATGTTTAAATATTATCAACACTTGTTAATTATTATTCGTTATTGATTTTTATGACAATACATTGATTTCTATAATATAATATTTCGTTTAATGAAATCCCGCTCGGAAATAATAAACCGCCGTATTCCTTATTGGTGGCTATTATCCGTTTTCGTTGGACCGTTACGGAATGCCATCAGACGGTCTACGGTATTTTCAAGTTTTGGGTTTGATAACGAAGCGTTGCGTAGTCTGTTATACGTGTTTCACCGACGGCAGAGGTCAAAATAGATTCGAAAATCATTTAAATATTCATTCTGAATATTTCTGGTGTACGTTTTCACGAAAAGTATTCGGATATTATGTGTATTGTATACACGTTTTCGCCGATCTATTCGAACGGTAATTCCGTAATTCTGTTATTTTGAACTCACGAAAAAGAAAAATATCTATACATGTGTATATATATATTCTCTACGTTTACAATATACAGCGTGTTCTTTAGTCAATAACTAATTTACTTGTAATGATTGTATCTATATTGTCGACAAACACGTAAACAATACGTTCGATACGTGCACGGTGTAATCGAAGCGATTTGCATTATTGAGCGTTCCTATAATCGGATTCTTAAAACAATAAATTTGCATTTTTAAACGGGCATTGTTATGTTATAAAGTTGCATAGTTCTATGCGTTTTTTTCAGTTATTAATATTTTTGACCTTTGAGTTAAAACGTTTCGGCGCGTAACAGAATATCATATAACGCAATGCAAATCTGAAATACCAAACAGCTATTGTCTTTTGAGACACGTGTTAAATACAATATTTGAATAAGTACTCAAAAGAAAATACGGGCGCGAGCAAATCAGATTGAAAATAGTACTTTTACCAACCGAAACGGGGATGTTTTTTTTTTTGTTGAGTGCATAACATTGTACACTATTTAACGGACGCAAGACGCGAAACGAGTGTGAGAAACCAATACGATTATACAGTGTCAATATTGGCTCCGGCTCACCCGGCTATCCGACAATCGCCGGGACCCAGGAGCACTTGGATGTAATTTTGAATATTGGGGGCCTCTGACCAAATGAGGAAATGAGAAAAAAAATATTTACACACGTTTTAATTTTTTAAATTATTTTCCTTATCAAATTTTAATTAATCAATTATATTTTAATAATTATAATACTATGTTTATTTCAGAAAAAGAAACTAAATTAATAAGTAAAAAATTTAAAATTTGATTTTAAAACGATTATTAAAAAAAAAAAAAAAAGTCGTTTGATTATTTTGAACACGTCTACGTAAGTCCAATACAAGTATTATTATCATGTTTCAAGTATCTATGTGTATTTATAACCGAATTACAACAAAAATACTCCCAAAAATAAAAATTTATTAAAAGCTCAAAAAAGGCTCAAAAGTTTTGACGATGATACTAATTTTTTCCCACTTGAGTGATTTTATTTTAAAAAAATGGAGTTACAAATCAAAAAATATACAATCTGGACAACTTGAGCTTTCAGAAAAGTTGATACACATAAAAATCGGAAGAAGTTTACTAAGCAAAAACGTGTCGAAAGACTAAACCGAAGAAAAAAGAAAAGAAATATACATCTTAGTAAAACCAATAGCTCTATCGCTACGCTCGGAATCTAAAATAATAATTCACTAGAGTGTTTTATAAATTTGAAAAAGCTATAACCGCGATAGCTGACATCGGTTAAATCGTGTATTTGAGATGGAGTTTTACTCGTGTGTTTATCGATTGAGAAGATTGGAAGCGGTGCGTTTCTATCTTTGTTTTACACGCGTGAAATTTAGTGATTTAGTCGTGTTTTAATTCCAACATACCGATTGATCTAGCAAAGCGGTAAGAATTCTGGAAACAGATTTTTCGTGCAGTCTACTTGATATCGACTTTTTCACTTTTTAAATTTATCTCCTTAAATTCTAAAAAAAAAGCCATACCAATAAAATAGTAATTGAACAATCGGAATATTTTAACTCTTTGCAAAATCAAAATCGAAAATCGAAAAGTGGGAAAGCCGATCTCAAGTAGAATTCACGAAAAATTAAAAAAAATCTGCTTTCAGAATTCGTATCGCTTTACTAGACCAATCGGTACGCCGGAAATAAAACACGTCTGAGACCGGTGTCATACTTGCGGATAATTCGCGTGCGAGAGGCCGGTGTCGCACTTGCGTTTTTTCCGTAGCGGAAACACAAACTTGATACTACGCAGCTCAATGATTGTTTTTTTTTTTTTTTATATTAATCACACTTCAGTTTGATTTCATTTGTCATACAACACAAACCGTTTATCGTATTGAAATAATAATAATATGGAACTGTTTGAACTTTTAGACGACGTCGGGTTGGTAGGAATCGCGTACTTATAACTACTGTGTGTTCGGTAATTGTTTACGACATTAAAACAGAAATTTCAATGAGATTACAATCAGCTAATAAATGTTTCTTTGGACTTAGTAAAATTTTTAGATCAAGAGCAATCTCTAAGAATTTAAAAGTTAGAATGTACTTAACTTTGCTAAGGCCAATTGTCCTGTACGGAGCAGAAACATGGCCTCTGAGAAAGACTGAAGAACGAAGAATTGCAGTATTTGAGAGAAAAGTACTCAGGAAAATTTATGGGGCATACTTTGATGTTCTCGCAAATGAATGGGGGAAATTACACAATGAAGAACTGCAATCCCTTTTTCAACGACCGGATATACTGAAAGAGATAAAAAAAAAAAGAAGGCTAGTTTGGGCTGGACACGCCTGGAGGAAACATGACTCATTAATAAGAAGAGTAATAGAGGAAAACCCAGTAGGGAGGAGACCACTTGGAAGACCGCGTCTAAGATGGGAGGATTGCGTTAGGAGCGACACTGAAACAGTAGAGCCGGAGTGTCGCTGGCAGGGAGTAGCAGAGGATAGGGATAGGTGGCAGTATGTTTATCTAGAGGTATGGTCTTGAATGGCCGAAACCAAGAAAGAAGAAGAAAAAGTTCGGTAATTGTACATTGCACATTTTACCGATGATTAAAATGATTCACGTAACGTTTTTCCTTTTGTTCGCCGATTGTATTGTTTCTCAGTCGGAAAATATGTTTCGTGCTATCTGGTTCTATGATTTTTTTTTTTCTCCACTTCTCGATTACTGTATTTCTGTTGCTCGAATCCCCCATAAGCACGTAGATCACTACACTCCGGAAATTAATAATTCAACGTCAGACATGGTGACGATGCTTGTTTAAGTATCGGCAATAGAATGACGAATAAAATATGATATTATAATTCCGCCATTAATATGACGCGGATAATTGAAAATATCGTGTTTGGATTTATTTCGGTACCGTTAAGGTAATAAAATCCCGTGGAATAATCGCGACGCGTGGCGGTTATCTTTTTCCGTGCGGAAATTCCGCTGTAATGAGTTCAATAGTATTTAAAAAATATTAATTTCGCAAGTATAACACCGGCCTAAATTCGTTTTCATCTCACGTGTGCAAAACGAAGACGGAAATTTGTCGCGTCCAATTCCCTTTAAGACAAACGTTGGGCAAAACCAAACATTGATTACCAAACATTCTTGTTAATATCTTTAATAGTATTTGTTTAATATTTTACCGATTTTCCCGTTTTTCCTATGGTGTCCCCGTTTATTTTCCCGATTTTTTCCATTTGTTGAGAAAAATCACGGGAAAATCAAAAATTTACCTCTCTTCCTGTACCTTTCTGGTTCGTTATTCTTTCAAAAAAGTGCTACACATCGAAGTAAGATTTCCGGTAGAAAAGTTGTCAACAGAAAATAAAATAAACGTCTTTGTATAACTATAAGCTTCTCCGCTCCACTTTACTAAAACTTGGTAATACTACTGTTATTAACGTTAATTTTTCTCTTTTCGCATGAATTAACGTGTCTTGTCCAATTTGTTTTATTCATTTTGTCACGTTTCCCCCCCCCCAAATTTGCAAATATCAGAGTTCACAGTGAATGTTTGAAAGTAGGCAATAATAAATAAGTTATAACGGTACAGACTACACGCTAAATATAAATCGAAATGTTAATTGTCATTTTAAGAAAGTGTGCAAAGGAATAAAATTAAAAAAATTTCAAGTACATGATATTTAAATACTAATTATCGTCAATGTATTGTGAACACGTACTAATGCCGACATATCTCTTTATTTTATCGTGCTTAATATTATTGTAAAGTATGTAACAGTTAACTATAATAAAATAACAGACTAATAACATTTCATATTAGTCACAATATTTTTGTGACGGCCTTGAACCAAAAAAACTGAATAAATATACCTTATATAATTAATAAACATTACATTTTATAATCGTAGCATTTGGAAGTTTTTAATATAATTATTACATTATATTATAACATCGTCACTGTTTTTGTATTCGAATGTTAAAAAAAAAAAAAAAAATGTTAGACACTTGCTGGTAGCACAAATATAGATAATTATTAATTATCCATATTCGTGTTTGGCAATAAATAATTATGTCCACACATTTAAGTTTGTTAATAGCCGTTGTGGTTTGATGGCGGAAAGATACGCTTGTACCTATTTACTTCCATCTATGCTGTGGCATTTTCATTTTAAGGCGAGTGATTTGAATGATTTGATACTAGATCGCAGCACATGAATTATTCACTTTTATTTCTTTACCACAATATAAATGAAAATGTTTAAGTACACATTACTCAAGAGTTTTAAATTCAGAGTTTTAGAAGTGTAACGCTTACACAACGAAATAACGAAAAATAACTTGGCTAATATTTTATACGATCAAACCGATTTTAAAAATATCTTTTTATAAATACATTCTAGATAATAAATAATAACCGCATAATTTATGTATCTTAACACGTTTATGTCTAATAACAGTCAATTTTAAATAATCTCTCCTATTAAAATACATTGTTTCTATGCTCTATGTAAAACGACTAAATTGTATACAGTTATTTTTTCTATGTGTATTCCTTGATTTAATTTTTCATAGTCTTTCGCGTTTTACATTTTGACTGCGATACGCCCGATAATGAGTTTTCAAATAAAAACCGGTCGTTTAATGCCACTTATCGTAATGCTCCAGGCGGCGCATTCATTCGTTTAATTATTTTTTTATTTTTCTATATTAATTGTTTATTTATATATTTATTTACGCCATTTCGATAATATAACACTACTAATTAACCACACCTGATTAATTCAAATGTTTAATGTTTAACGATATCTGCGGAATAACAAAAATGTTTAAAGAAATCACACCGTGGGTCGGCCGTTTATTTCGCTGAGGAGATAAGTACGTAGAGTGTTGTATTAAACATTATGGTACCGCTTTTTACACGGTTACGCGTATTTTAGTGCGCAACTCCACGTTTTATAAATTGAGATTAACATCGTTTTTAATCGAACAAATTAACGACTCAATGGACACCATTATTGTTATTATTTTTTTTTTCTTTTTATAACAGTTCAGTTGAAAACATTTCAACTTCGCTATAGTCAATTACGTTTATCCATGATTAACTTGACTATCATTTCTTATAATTATATATGCTATATAATAGTAAAATAATTAAATAGGCTTGATATATTTGCTTTAATAATGTTTCTTTAATATTGTACCGATTCTCCCACCGCGTCGTGTGTTTTCCAGGTTTCCCCGTGTTTTATCACGGTTGTTCATATTTGCTGGGAAAACTCCTGAGAACATCGAGAAACGACCTCTTTACGTGTTCGTAAAGCTTCTTTTCTCCACTCACGATCCAAAATAACCTTTAATAACGTTGATAATATGTCTGTGACAGTTAAAATGTATAGTGTATATATAAACTACAGAGTTCATAACACAATCATAATTATAAAAATTAATAAAAATATTATGATAATTATTAAATATTTCTTTGAACGTACCACTGAAATTATTTTGTCCCTTTTTTTTTTTTTTTTTTAAATTCCGAACGTAGCGAGGGAGTTATTAATTTAACCAAGATGTTTATTTCTTTTTTCTTCTTGTCTGTGGACAAGTTTTATTCAGGTAAACTTGCTCCGATTTGTACGCGTAACAACTTTTCTGAATGCTCAAGTTGTCTGGATAGTGCTTTAAAGAAGTCATTTTTTTTTTTTTGATTTTTGACGCCATTTTTTAAATAATAGTTATTAAATGGGTAAAAACGTAGGAAAACGTACAATTTCACGATTTCATTATTTTGAGTAAGTACCTATTACGTTTTCTAGCACAAACATGGCTTCAATTGAAAAACGACTAGAGACTTTCGTCAGCAATGATTTATAATTTCTTACAGATATATTTTTTTTTTTGAATTTTTAATTATAACACATACAATCTGTAAATACACTTTTTACAATAAGCATGTATGAGGAATTATGAAAAAAAAAAAATAATAATAATAATAAAAATAAAAAAGACGAGATCGACATGAAGAAGTAATCACCCAGCGGCAACACTTACTGGCTATAGAGGGCTATTATAGGTCACGGTTCCAGTTACGCTTTAACCTTCTAGGTGGATTACCTGGAATGGAATTGGAGTTTAGGGCACGGATTAATAGATTAGAGTGGTTTGTGGCTTACAGATACAAATGAAATAACCTTATGTATCCTACAATCCCAACTTCTCACCTATAACTGTAGCCGCTCCCATCCCCAGTCTCAGCTCTTTTTTAGGTATGGTCACCCTAATGTAATTATAAAACATTTTGTCGCATATTTGTTAGGGTGGTTTGGCGTCACTGGTTAAACTTATGGCTGTAAATAAACTATTTTATTCAATATCCTAAACGAAATATTTGACTTGAGTAAACAGGTAAACAAAATTCCTAAGTACCTAAAATAAAAATGCGGAGTATATTCGACACATTCTTATCTGTTCCCAGCAACTTTATCAACTTCTCAGAAAATTATATATTAAAATAAATAAATAAATTACCTGTGGAACAGAGGAATCTGCACCAAAAAAAAAAAAAAAAAAAAAAAAAAAAGACATAATAAATCGCCGAATTCACTGACCACTAGAACGTTAAACTTTATATAGGTACGAATAATTACGTAATGTTATTGTATATTTTATTATCTAAATCTACTGACAGCCTAATATAAGATACTTGATTTTTATCTCTAAAAAAGGTCGCTAATATGTTACGTACGTGTTCCTTTATTGTACAGATTGCGATAACTGTTACTGCGTGGTATAATTTGTAAATTACCAGATACAATCTGTACTGTAATAGAATATAACTGTTAACTCATTAGATAGAATTGCAGCTGGTAGTTGTCGATTAGTATTCTACATACCCATACGTCTATGGCGATAACTTGCGATATTATGTTTTTGGCGTCCTTTAGTTATCAATAGGGATATCAGAATTCAGTATAGTCAGATACTAAAAAATTAAAATTTTTTTTTTGAATTAAAATCATTTCAACGTTTCGTCATTTAAACGTATTCATGTACATAAAACTTACTTAATTAGATATGTGGTGTTTAAATTTAAAAAAAAAAAAAAAATGTTATCTATAATGTCCTTAATAGCTACGTTATTACAAATTATCGTTAAATAAGTAAATAATTTGATGTACAAGGTATATAAGAAAATTATAAACAAACACTTATGTTATATACATATATTACTATACTGTATATTTAAATAAGTATATTTTAAGTTATTTGTGTAGTTGTGTGTATGATCCTCGAGACACATTATTTTAATGCATATTAGAATATAGTATATGATATTATATGAGCGTCTAAAATACCAAACTGCTATTAACATTTAGTAAATGTGTTAGATACAATATTTGAATATTTAAAAAATAATATGGGTTCAAACAAATCAAACAACAATAGCCGTTTTACAAGCTAAAACTGTGATTGTTTTAATTGAGTTCATAGTATCGTATAGAATTTAATGTAAGCAAGACGCAGGAAACAACATTTGGGTACTTAATATCCCTAAAAAAAAGATACCGAGTTTGTAAATTGAAATCAAAAAAGCAGGTGCTTTTGTTCAAAGTCACGGTGAAAATATTAGTAACGAGTGTTTTATTAAAAATAACAACATTAATAAATAGGTATTCAAATTCGTTTATTTTAACGTTGATTACGATTGGAGAAGATTTTTTTCTAACTGCTTCAAGACAAAAACGCAACTCAGAAAACGTGCACAATTTAGAATTATCAATACTTTAAAAAGGTATAACATGATATAATAATATGCCCCCCCCAGGAATTGGTTACCAAGTATCTGAGTTCGAAATTTATTAATGCACTGACCGATCATTATGTTAAATATTTCGCAAGGTTATAAACTGGTGCGGATTTAAAACGAATTAATGGACGAATCGGATTATCTTGTTTATGTAATTTTATGAACGGTTGTAAGTGTGGAGCTTCTATTTTGTAATCAGATTTTAACGATATTTTCTTTTGGACTTTAGGCATGATTTCTTTCGAATTTGTTATCGGTTGTAAATTAAAGTTAGGTTATATGCTAAGTTTTGATATTGTTATTATTTATAAAATCCAACATTTTTTTTTTGATGAATTTCATTGGTATAAATGATAACAACGGCATTAGATTTATCTACCGGAACTATTTATTTATTATTTGTTTTTAATTTAATATGTTGTTAATCATTTTTTTTTTTTTTTTTGGTCGTTGAACTACACCATTTTGTTTTAATATTTTATTAGGCTTATTTTTGTATTTTTTTATTGGTGCTGTTTATTAAGTCATATCTTGTTTGATTTTAGTTTTGAAATCGCATACAATTTATAACAGATTCATATTGTATTAATTGTTTTTTAATTGATTGAAAGTTTAGTGTTTTATATGTATTGAATTAATTACCTTTATTTAATAAATTGTTTTCAGATTTCATGAAAATTATGGAAGTTAAATTGGTAACTCGCGGTTGAAAAGAATGTTAGATTTTAAATTGTAATTTCTGTGTATTTTGTGTTACTAAAATATTAATTTTATCATTTACCCTACGTAATTTCTCATTTTTCTTATGTAGTAATTTTGTTTAGATGTGATTTTTAAAGTGTGAAATCTGTAAGTAGTTTAAATTTTGGCATCAAATCGTTTCTAAATTATTGATCTTTTCTACTATTACGTGTTTTTTGCTGAATAAACATTTTTCAGAGTTCAACCATATTGCTTCTGCTTCTTTCTTAACATTGATTCCAGCTTCAGATGTACATTTGAAATGACCTCTTTAATGTACCAAATAAATAAAGTTTTCTTTATTCAAAAAATGTGGTATACTTGAAATGGAAGCAAGATTTCTGGTGGAAATTGTATACACAGTGTATAAAGAAAACAAACATCATTGTTAAACCAACAATTTTCATTCGCTCAGAATCTAAAATTTGACGCAATTATTGTGACAATTTTTTAATTTTGTGTATGGTTTTATAATAATTAATTAAAAGTGATAGATTATAATTACAACTATTGTTTGAACATTTTAAATTCTAGTCGGCAAATTTAAAGACTATACATGATTTTTTTAAGATCGTCGTTACTTTTTTAACACGACGACGCGAAATATATGGAACACTTTTAATAACCAAAAAAGTGTTTCCCGTGAACAGAATAATAACGAATCTTAGTAGGAAATACGGTTTCTTTGCTGCACTCAGAATCTAAAAATAAAATTCTACTTCAAACGGTCGCTGTTTTATTACTCTCTAACCGACACAACGAAATTCGTTTTCCGTCGTTTTGCCTTGGACGTTCGACCAAACACAACATTCCGATACGTTTGGTCTTGTACAGTTTTCGCCTCATTGTCACAAATCGCCAATCGCGCCACGTCGAATGTCACGTTACACGCGTGTCCGCGACCGTATCCGGGCGTACTTTCCGACGGGTGTGTCGTTGCACCGCAATCGGTTTTGCGCTGCCGAGCGAAATGTTCACGGGAGCCTACAGTACGCTGCGCAATCGGAAAAACGAACGGCCGCGGGCAGTGTCCAATCGTCGAAATCCGCGGCGTTTTATCTCGCGCGCGCGGCCCGCGTCGCCGTATTGCGCGGCGTCACTGAGTGCGCACCCGAACTCGCGGTATCGGACGTTTCAAACGATAGCGAATAATAATTTTTCAACCGATCTCGGGACGTCCGTTACGTGGCCGCGCGCGGTGACAAAACCGCGCGCACCGATCGCGGCGCGGCCGCGACCGTTCCCGTTCCGGCGTGCGTTTTCATTGCGCGGCCCGCAACGCGAATCGGATACAATTGCAAACGTTGTACTTGAAACATGTACCCGATACGAAATACAACGCGAAACCGGTCGAACAGTCGAATTAGCGGTTTTCGCGACAATGCGATACGGCGGGCTGCTTTGCGCGGCGTTCCGAAAGTGCAGGCCCGCGCAATTCGTCGGTAACGAACGTGAGAAATTCAAATTCGTAACCGTAGAAAAAAAAAAACAAATAAATAAAAAAACAATACGGTTAACGCGGCGGCCCGGTCGCGGCGGTCCGCCCGCCGTTTCGGTGGCCCGATTCGACCGAACGCCTTTTTTACGGGGAAAAAACGTTCGTTGCGACCCGACCCCCGGACGCCCGCGCGGCCCGCGACGCGGACGGATATCCCGCAGCCGCCGTGTCGGCCGTGTTGCTCAGGACCGCGCCGAGCGTCGGGCGCGCTGCGCGACAACCGCGACCGCGTGTGGCGGTGTCGTGCGTGCGGGTGCGACGACCCCGTTCCCGCGGTTATCTGCGAAACCGCCGCCGAGGAATTTAGAGACGTGACACATTATTATTATTACTCGTGTTTTTTTTTTTTTAACGATTTTTTTTTTTTTGTTTTTTCGGCCACAGCGGCCAGTCGCCGCCGTCGTCAATACGTTACAATGCGACGATATTGTCATAAATCGTAATGTTACGCGGGACGCGTGGTGCAAAAACATCGCTTAACATCACCAACGCCGCGCGCCGTCCGTTTCGTACCATTACGCCCGACATTATTTTCCTGTCGATTGCGCGGTACGCTATTTTTTTTTTCTCGTCGCCCCGTCCGGAAACAACGCGATATTTATTATATTCCGTTACGCGGATTTCACCGGACTGGACGTCCGAAACTGACCGGACGAACTGGAAATATCAGGCAAGTAACCACACGCGGTTTCCTCGCTGAGGGGGTTTTCCCGATTGAGAAGCGCGCCTCCTTCGCGGTTCATCTCGCGTTCCGGGCTAAAAACATTGTAGATTTTTTTTCCGCCGCGCGCTCAATAATCGTTGTTATCGGTTTTACGGGAAAACGAAAAAATTATAATTTCATCCTCAAGAGTACTTATCCTCAGTGCCCTCGAAAGCAAAAACTTCATGATTTCAGTTTCCAAGTGGAGCGAAGAAGCTTATGGTTTTATAAAGATGTTTATTTATTTATGTTTTCTTATACGCGCACAATATTTACACTGAAAAACTTGCTCAGATTTACCTGAGTGTAGCGCCTTTTCTGAAGGGAAATCGGCGCGGGAAGGTAATTGAGTGGAGGTAATTTTTCGATTTTCTCAAGGGTTTGCTTATCGAATTTGAATAAACCTAAAGAAAACGGGAAAATGTACGAATTATGTTATTAAAATATTACGATTTTTTTTTTCTGACGGCAACTTTTCTACCAGCAGCTTTCTTCCAACTTTTAATGACAGCCATGTTTCTAAAAGTAAATTTGATTAGAAAGATACTTTAAAGTGGTCATTTTTTGGTTTTCCCGAGATTTTTCGCGGCAAATAAGAAAAACCGGGATAAAACACGGGAAAAACGTAGGAAAATTGGGAAAATTGGTAAAACATTGAACAAATATTATTCAAAAAAATATATACAGCCTATTTAATTATTTTACTATAAAATGGCATATATATTGTTGACAAAGCATCACTATCAACCCGAACTCAGTTCAGAATCGTTTTTCGTAAGCGATGATTTTTTATTGCTTACAAGTATACGTTAAATTATCTATAACAGTGGATGCACCAGTTCTCGTTATTTTAGGAAGTTTTTTTTTTTTTTTTAATAAATTACCAAAAAAAGAAACATATTATTTCATTGGTTGTAGATTCATAATTATTTGGTTGTTTACTGACTTTCCGCTTACCCATTAAACCGCCAGTCGCCACTGATTTATACGAAAAGTGGTATATTATTAAAACTCCGCGCGCTATGCCACCACACAAATGATGATCCATTACTCTCTCCCAACCCAAACTTAATAATGTTTGATCCATCGTCAATTGATCGACAAAAGTCAAAAATTTCAACAGTAAAATCTATTTTGACTAATACTTCATCCATTTACGGAATTTTCAACACAGGTTGCCATTTGAAAACCAAAAGTAGGCAGTGTTTTCACTCCTAAAAACAAGGTTAACAAAACATATTATGAATGCAAAATAGTGGAGTTGCTCGTTTCCTAAATGTTCTGTAAAACATATTTCGAAAAATGTTAATAATTTCAGAGATAATCAGTGTGTTGCGATAGATTGATCACTCTGTATACAGTAAAACTCAGCAACGAAGACAGCGACGATCACCTGGACGGTATCGTGTTATATTATAAAAATTTTTGATAGTAGTATTGCTCATTAACTACGCATATTTTATTTCTAGAGGTGAAATTCAGAATATTTTAAATATTTTTCGGATACGCGACCGCGATGATATGCGCCAGAGATTGTTACAACACATTTCGCAATCATACAACACAAGACACGTGCATAAGTTTGTGTTTTTTTTTTTTTGTTCTTCGCAAAAATCCAAGCAGAGTTTCATATTATTATCGTTATGATATTATTTACCAGGCGCTGAACCGAGTAGATAATATAACGACCATCAACACATAATTTACTAGCTCCTACGAAAACACGTATAAACGGTATGTTATCGGCGTTTCAACAATCTACAACCTATGTAATAAAACTATCCCGAAATACAATATTGCGGTCTCGAACGTCTAGCGTTAAACACCTGCGATTATATTTAGACGTAATTTTTTATATATTTTTCTTTTTGGTAATTCGACTACTTACAGTTGTTTTTCTATCGTTTAATACCAATTGTTTTCCTCGTAGTATTATCTGAAAGAAACAAACGTTTTAACACGACGAATTGATACTGGGCCAGGTATCGATTCAGTGTATAAACGGCAACATTACGATCAAATGTCAAAATAATAATATTGAAGTCACAAATTTCAGACATTTCCAGTAATATTTTTATCCTTAAAAATAATTTCTAGTCGAATTTCCGTACACAATATAAAAACAAAAAAAAAAAAAATAATAAATAAACATCTTAGTAAAATTAATTTATTCTTCGCTATGCTCATAATCTAAAAGTCCATAGATATACGTATTATAATTTATTATCGGTTTACGGTTATACACAATGAGGCGAGCGCAAAATGTATTCAATCACTTGTGGGCTATTCTGCTAATGAAACTACTGAGACTGTTGTTTGTCTTACATTGCGTACCTATAGGACAAGACATTTTCGAGTATAATATGAACGCGTTGAGACTTAATTAATTATAGTTGAACAACACCGATGAACGAAAACGTCAAGGTAATAGTAAAAATTGCCGGTTAACTTCGCACGTGGGTGCGGCCACTGTTTGTAGGTGAGAAATTGGTAAAGTAGTGGAGGGAAAGTTTTAATGCATGTCTGGAATTAACGATAAACCGTTGCTAACGAAAAACCAATTCTGAACGAATCTTTCGTTGGCCGAATAAAGGCCAACAGAAAAATCAACTAAGTCATGTGCGCTTCTTTCGAAAGTACGCGAAATAGGTACGCATTATTTTAATAAATGAATGACATAATAGATTCTCTGGGTTCCCTCCGCTTTTACATGTAAGCAACTCAACATACACTTCGGTGAATCGTTTCATATTTCTGTTGTTAACGCACTAACGAATAACGGATCCAGCTGTGCATGTCGTCTCACAGATGGCGATACTTATTTTCAAAGGAATTTTCATTTTTATTAAATTATTTTCACAGTTTAACAAAAAGAAATAACAAATAAATTCTTATGCAACTAGGTTAGCTAGTTCTACAAGGTGGACACCTATAGTGTTATCCAAACACTTATAACTTTCAATATTCATTTTTTGTTTCTACCGATTTTTGTGCCAGATTGACAAAAATATAGGAAAATTAAATTTTTATTTGCATCCCTTAATCGCCGAAAAAAAAAACAATTTATTTTACTTGTTAAAATTTAAAATTTAGCCATTTCGTAAATATACTTGATTTTTTTTAGTCTCTATTTTATATCAAACAAAAATACAAAATTAGATCGTAGAAATAAATTTTTAATATTAATATTTTGTCTTCATATTATATTGTAATAAAAAATTATATTTAGTATTTTATACGTATTTCACACATTTAAGAGAAACCATTTTTCTGTTTTACCTTTACAATTTTATTTATTAATATTGTTTTTTTTTATGTGCATCATCAAACATATTCGTATTCATTGACAATCGGTGACCATTCATCGAAAAAGATATTGAAAAAAAAAAAAAAAATTAGCTACACAATGCAACCAATTTATCACGTAATAAAATATATAATCTAAAACATATTTGAGTTCGTTTCTAGCATAATTAGTATTATTAGGAGTTATCGGGTTTAAACACTAAATGACAGTTTAAAACATGTTGATTTAATGGATATAATATTTTTAACATAAATAATATATTATTATACGATAAATAATTAATTTAAAAATAAATAATTTTATTAATTTTAAACCTCGATTTTTATACATTTTTTTTTATGGATTTAGATTGATATATTCGAATTTTTTTTTTTTTTTGTGTACAATGTGCCAATTTTACCTCTTATAATTTCTCTGCCCTAATAACGTTATTAGTATATAGGTGTATAGATGGTGGTAGGTCACCTTGAAATTGCGCTATTTATAGACATTTTACATAATATTAATTTTCGCAATATTTTACACGATGAATTTACGATTCTTGCAATTAGATACATTAAAAAGAAAAAAAAAAAAAAATCCCGATTTGACGTCACACGAAGCCTGCGGGTAAGTTGAATAATATCCACGATAACACGATACTATTTACATTATAAAATACTTACCGTGAAAAGTGAGAACACGCGGAATATGCAATTGTTTGAAAATGACCAACAAAATGTTATAACAATTTATATATTGTATACTCAGTAGTTCTAAATTAATGAAAATTCATTGTTTTCTAATGGCGTAGCATAAACAATAGGATATTACAATATCGTTTTTTTTTTTTTTTTTTAGACGATCATATCGTAAAAAATATAATATTACACGTGTAAAAAGCCAAACATACTCCGTACTATGGGTAGGCCGTTACTGTTGGTGAAGGGGTATACAGGACACTTAGTTTGTACACTGCGAGTGATTTAAAAAACAACCATTCTGATTGGTGATCCTGGTGAACTGGATAATTTATATTATTAGTCGTGGTATTTTTCCTTGCAAGGTAACCCGAAAATTAGCAACAATAACATTTTTTTTAAACAAATTGTTGGAATCTAGAAACTATTCCGAAAATATTCATGATTGGAGTATTTTTACTAATCGGAAAAGTATTTTCTCACAGGGCTCATAAACCTGTAAGAAGAAAATATTACGAAGCCCGGATTATTTGAACAATGAGGATGGAGATAAGACGGTCTCGGACTTTTTGAAGTGAAGGGAATGTTCAGTAGTGACTACGTACTTTTAATATAACAACCACATGGAAATTACATCTAAGGGATCTGTTAAAACGACGCGGTAGCACGACAACCGATTTACGACTATCCGCGGATTTCAAAATACTTGACGAGTCTTAACGACTATACACTATTTAGGTATGGCGTATAGACTAAATAATCAATACATACTGTTTTTATTGTATTTTATATGCAGTTGAAGATGCCAACAAATTCAAAAAAATGCTTTTTCGGAAGATTGATATAAAAACTTCTATGGATATGTTTTAATCAACCGTAAAACACGACATAAATTAGGTGTGAATAGTTCTTGGTGTACACATATGACGTACAGTGCCAGTGGTGTTTTATATTTCTATTGTTACTAATATTATATAAATGCACGACTTGAACGCAGTAAGTAAGTATGCTTGATTCGTTTTAGAACGAAACAATGTTTAATCAAAATATGTTTTTCTAAAACGAAATAAGAGCTATCTTGAACTCGGTAATTTTTATTGCGTTCTTGGATCGAAATTGTTTTGAATAGGAGAAAAAAAAGGTATTTAACTAATTTTTTGCCTAGTGTTTTTTGATTGATGCAGTCTTGAACTGGATAGTCGATATTTTAATATATTATACACATTAATTTCGTATACAATTGACAATTAATAATATTTTATTGATAAATAAAATGTGTGATGCACCTGGCGGACGGTTAGGTTAGGTATATTATACATAATAGTATGGTGCACTAGAATCAAAAACAAATAATTTTGTAAGAGATTAATTATGACTTACGTTATTTTTAATTTTTGCTTTTTTTAAATTCCGAGTAAAGCGAGGAATGTATTGGTTTGGCAATGATGTTTTTATTTTTATTTCTTTTTACTGTGTACAATAAAATAAATTGTTTTGTCAACGCGGCCAACAACCTTTAATCTTACACACATTTTAAGGATAACGATTAAACAAGTAATAATAAAACATAATTATAGTTAATTATTCTCGTGTCATTGAACTTAAATTCCTCTTTTGGTTAAGTAATTGATCACTTTAGTGACCACGTCATTTGAATTGGAGAACGCATACGTCCATTAGCACCGAGTCCCCATCATTGGGTATTACTGTGGGCGGTTTTTGTGCTGAACGATTCCACATTCGCATAAGTCATTTATCCTTTTGTTAATTTCTGTAAATATTTCTTGATTTTTCGTAAAGTGGAATGTCTTTGTATCCTGGTCGCATTGGTGTCTTCCGGTTTCGGCCGTCGTCTGTCGTTGACCTGCGTACGTCCGGAGTTGTTATTTCACTGTAAAGTTTACGTACCTCTATCGGTATTGTGCAAAAACAACCAGTTTACTGTTCTACAAGGCTAATTGAACGCTATATCAATATTTTCGCATATGACTGTTTGCTAAACCGGGCAAGCGTATTCTCCGAATATGCGCATCGGCTTCCGATTTGGAATTTTTAAGTTTCCGCAACTATTAACTCTGGTTCGAATACTCTAGTAGTGTTTCTTGAGAGTTAGTGGCCTATTTAATGATAAATAACTCAAACACAGATTTTTTTTTGCCATAAATAACGTACCTGCACAATATTGCATATTTTTATTTTATTATGTTATTTATTTAATATGCAACCATAAAACGCATATAATATCGTGTTTGTATTCAATATTTGTAACGTTATCAACCCTAATCGAATTCAGTGTTTCATACTGAGTACGGTTAGGTAAAAAAAAAAATACACGTACAATATGTACAAATGAAAAAAATTCTGTCCACACCGCGTTGAGACCTACTAGGGTCGGGAAATACGCATACGGTGTATGATATTATAATATCACGAGTCTCTGTAATTCGATTAAACGTCGAAAAAATGAAAAAAAAAAAAAAAGAAACACTGACGACGACGTGACCAAAAAAAAAAAAAAACCCGTTACGCCGAAGAATAATATAGTAATATAGGTAGGTGCATTATAATAATATTATGCGGATTACCGAACAGATTTTCAATTGTCGTCGCGGTCGACTATAATAGTAGACGTTTTTATTTTATTATATCGGTTCCTGGTCGTTCGTCGAGTATAATCCGAAGAATAACGTTTTTTTTTTTTTTTTTTTTCCGGGCGAAATTCAAATATTCAGTGTTATTTTTTTATTTTTCTGTAGACAGGTATACGTTACGCTTCCGGTGGTGCCGCCAGCAAAATGACGCGAAATCGTAGGCAGAACTATTATAATATAGAACACGTATACATTATTATCGGCCGTCATCGCACATATTTTTCGCGTGTAGACGAAACAACGGCGGAGATAATTTCTGGATTTACCGTCACGCAGCCGTTAAATTAAATATTTAGTAGAGCCATAACATTACCCGAAAACGTCCATAGCGCCTACACGATGACAATGATGCGACACGACAACAATATTATTATAGTATTTTTCGTAAAATATTATACAAATTATTATGTATAGGTATAATATAGTATACTCTTCTCGTTACGTGATCTTCCATCGTGTTCTTTAAATGTAAAGAGGGGAAATAACGGCGATTTTTATGGAGTTACAATGCGGTCGTTATAATAGGTACACCGGCATTTATTATAATAATGGTTACGAACGTCTGTTTTTTTTTTTTTTTATAGATTGCATAAACTAATAACGTATAAACGTTAAATATAATATATTTTTAAAAAAAAAAATGTTTCACGATGCATTTTCGTATATTTTTTATGGACATCCGGGAAACGTTTTATTCGCGTCACCGGAAACTAAAAAAATGTAAAGCAAGACATTATACAGAGGCTAGAGAGTGATGTAATTTATATCTGTATGTAAATATCATTGCTAACGAAAAACGGTTCCGAGCGAAGTTCGGTTAAACATGTTTTAAAATGCATTGATTGCTATAGTTATTAACATCTTAATAACTTCGTATCAAATTTTCAAACATTTTTGAAAAGCCAAACAAATTTTATCCACATCGTAAAATCAAATAAGAATTTAAACGTTTCATCAAATGGTTATTTTTTTATTTTTTTCGGAAATTATCTTACGTCTAGAAAGAGCTAATATAATCTTGCTTGTCTGAGACAATAAAGAGAACAAATTTATGACCTCAGGTGTACATCAGGGTACAGTACAATCCACTTTAATATAAATTATATATAATAATATGTCTAATCTACAAATTATTCTATATTAATTGAATGTAGACAATGCAGCATTGATTGTGATTGTTGACACGTGTAATTCAGTAATGAAAATAATCAGAAAACTCTTTAAAAACGATTACTGGTTTTCCAACAGAAACTCAATCTTCTATATACGTATAAAAAATAACTGCTTGTCCTGACTGACTGAGTCGTCGTCGCCTAACCTAAACCACCGGACGAATTGGGCTGAAATTTGGCATGCAGATAGTTATTATGACGTAGGTATCCTTTGAGAAAGGATTTTTGAAAATTTGGCCGCTAAGAGGGTAAACTTGAGGTTTTTAGAAAATTTCTTAATTCGGTACTAATTTCTTATTTATTTTTTTTTTTTGTTTTTTCATACCTGGCTACCTTGGGTGATACGGATGAAATAACAAAAATATTGGTTTGAGTAACGCCGGACGGGAGGGTTTTTGGAATTTTTGGAACATTAGTTAAAGTTTATTTGTTGATTTATAGATTACCTTGGTGACATGTATGATAATTTGGTTGTCACGGACAAGAAAACTATTAATATTATTTACACTATTATCTAGCAATAGCAGCCATTAGGTTTATACTATAGTATAAAATTTAAATAATACTGTTTTATTAACCTTTTCAAAATTAATATGAATATCTTTGTATATTTTTATTTTAAAAAATCACGACCCAACCTGTGAATTCGTTTTAAAATGTAAATGTGCAGTTATAATCGGAGTTAATAAAACAAAATATTTAGGCGTTGCACTTGAGACGGACCATTCATATTTCGGAATTGAATCTGAAACTGTGTAAATTATAAGCTTTTTTTATAATATGTCGAAACACTTTTTAAATGTATACCGTCTAAAAAATACACAAGTACTTTGCATTATATCCATGTATGACAGAATATGATAAAAAATGTAGAAAGAACGAGATAATTTCCGAAAATAATGCTTTATTATTTTCAATTTGGTTTTTTTGTTGTATTTCAGTTCAAAATATTCGTAAAAATTTGAAATTTTTACAGAAAACTCATAATATTTACTTTCTCTAGATGTAGTAAAATTTCCAAAACATTTAAGCTATTTTTGAGCTAAATTTTGCAAAAAGATTTTAAATTATTTTAATTTGGTGTGTACTCTGTCGATAAAATTGTTTGACCAAACAGAAATGTTTGAAAATTTAAGACGAAAGTCGTAAATATTACAGCCTTTCAAAACATGTTTAACCGGACATGGCTACGGATCGTTTTTTGTTAGCAATGGTTTATCGTTGCATATAGAACATAAAAATTGGACTACTTTGTGTATCCTAACTTTCCAACTTCTCATTTACAACAGTAGCACACCCGTCTCCAGTATAACATGTTTTTCAATAAGGTTTTCGTATTGGTTCGTAGTTAAATCACGCGATATGCCGATCTAGGTTTAATCACGAGTAAACACTGTGACGTAAAAAGGTTATAATCATGCCACTCTGCCGCCCGAACTTTAATCTAGCCAAGCTAAAATAAGTATAAATACGGCTTTGGGATCTCTATTCAGGCATAACGCATTTTTCTGTACGATTTTATTTGTTGGTGAGTACACATACCTATTATATATTTACAATACCGAGTACTTATATTTTATTCTATAATGTACATTATTATGTTTTTTTTATCTTTATGTTTGCAGTCTTCACTTCAGTTTCACGAAAACAAAACCAAAAATCAAAAATGGGCGCTGAAAAGGTAACCATGAACATCGTTGTCGTCGGACTTGTCCAATCCGCCAAGGCCCCCAAGACCGTCGCCAAGGCCGCCCCAGCCACCAACCAATTAATGGTGAGTGTACACTGTTAAAAAACTACTACTAATTATTAGCAGTTAACCGCTTATTAAATTTATATAAGTCGTAATTTATTTTTCCATAAAGCGATACTAATATGATTTTTACATTAAAAAAAAAAAAAATGACTTATTGCAAAAATACGAATACAATGAGTATAATGCACTTTATATTAGAGAATATATCCTGGATATATTATTCGTTTACAAATCGAGTACTGAGTATTGGTGGAGAAATAATTTACAAAGGTACATACCAGTACCGGCTAATAGTTTTTAATTTACGATAAAAAAAAAAGTACTTAGGTATAGCCACTATGCGTAATCAATAAAATAAATATAAATCAATTTCGCTAAGTAAAAATTAAATGTGAATAACAAACAATATAATTTTAACATAATATTTAATATTATTATTAATATAATATAATTATTCTTTTGATTTTTTAAAGAACGAATTAGGTACGTTATTAAAATGAAAACGAAATCCTTTTAAATTCGTTTACTTTTTTCTTTTTAGTACAATAATTAAAATCTGTTCTGCCTTCTCTCAATTAAGTCTGCTTCTTTCCACTTTATAAACTAATCCGGTTTTGAGATGAACCGATACCCAGTGAAAATATACACACGAATACTCGATGCAGGAGCAGATTTTTTTTTTTTTGTCAATTACAGACACGTATTTTTTATTTCGTTAATTTTAATATCGGTATCAAATAATGGCCGAGTAATAATTTAAATACATACAGGGTATTGGTCGAGTATTGAATAATTATTGGGTTATTACTCGATGGCCGAATACTCTGAATATCATCAGACATGACTAATTTATAGTGAATTTTGTCTTTATTAAAATATTCTAATACACTGCGTTTGATTTTCCCCGAGTTCTCTATTTGTCCAGTATAAAATTATAATATTTTGAACGAGAGTAATGTATCATACATTTTCCAATGATTTAGTTTTTAATTTGTATTCACATTACATATACCTACTCAATATTAATCGTATAATTTGTGTTTTAAGAATATTGCAACCGCCTAATCTATACCTACTTACCTCAAACAGGTGTATTTATTTGTCGTTTTCTCTTGTTTGTTTCAGTCCTGTTAAACTCACGTAGTCCAAACATCGCAACCTCAAAAATGCCATAGTCCAAAACAATACAAATTACATAAATTATTATCAATTAATATTATGTATATTATGTGTTGACATCTCAAAATAAACCACATCTTATCCGTCATTTGATGTTTTGTTTTTGTTTTTTTATTAGACCGTATTTTAAAATTTCATAATTTATAATAACTATGGTGCCAATAGTATTTATAAAATCAATATTCTATAGACATAACGATAAAACGGTTGTTACACGTTAAATAACTTAACGGTTCATAAAAATAATGTATATATATATATATATATATATATATACGCATATAATTATAAATAATATAATAGTTAATAACAGAAACATACCGCGGGGGCTTGAAAACTGTTACCGGACAAATATATATATATCTAGGCCGCCGTAATTTTTACGTTTTTTGTTACCATATCGATAATTAAATACCTCGTTGCAATTCTTGTTTGGAGAAGTATAAAAATACATTTTCGGAACACACATTACTAAACACTTTCATCGCCGGATAACCGCATTGAACATCCTTCCGCAGTATCCAGTATCCACCGTACATTACCAGTAAATAGTTGATGTTCGGTAATTTTAATTTTTAATTTATATTCTGAGTCCAGCGAGGAATATGTTTTTATATTTTTTTTTTTCCTCTTTGGTAACACTCGCCTATCTAAACAAGGATTTCACTCTTGGTGATATTGGTACGGTGTAGTGCATTTATAAATTATAACATTTATTAACAACAATATTTAAAACGATTATTCATAACTAATAAGGAGAGCATGAACATATTATTCTGTTGCAACGCTAAAATGGAAGTCTTAAGTGGAATGACTTCGCGATAAATCCTGCAGGAAAAGACGGACAGACGTCTACGACGAAAATTTTAGAAATCTAGGAGTGGCAGACGTGATCTAAAATAAGAATCGACGGCACAATGTTGTTTTGTCGGCGAAAACACTAAGAGTGTTGTAAAGGCCAAAATAAAAGAAGCGTACGAGGTTTTAAACGTATTTCTATTTGTTCAAACCTATACAAGCTTGGGCAGTATATTCGCCAACCGCAGGGCTAACCTAACCAAGATATAATAAACAACCTATTTGATAAAATTATAGGTATACGAAAAACTAGTGTCCATATAGTATACTTACCCAAAATCGTTTTTCGAGTTAAATTTGTTGGTATTGTTGAACAAAATAATAATAGATGTATCGGTTTTTAACAGTCACCATGTAGGTGCACGCCCGGTATATTCTATCATAATATTTTGTGAACGACCGATAACGTGCACGATTTCCAAATACAAAAGTAACGGAAAAGTTGGGAATATTAATATTTTTTTATTGTTTTTTACAACGCTATCCGATCGTTTATCGCAGTAAATAACATCATTGCAGTGTTGTATACAACGAAACCGAACTGCGATCAATAGCCGAAACGGCTGCTTTTCTCGTTGTGATAACAATAGTTACAGATCGTCGTTCGTGTGAGACGTAAATTCAGTCAGTACCTACCGCGTTACTACGCTAATAATAATTTATACTATTTCATAATCGACTTGAAGGGTGAAAAAATAACTGGTATGGGCAACATTTTCGTTAATAAGGTAATTGTTTTGAATTTTCGCAGTATTTGTTTTTTTTTTTTTTTAAACCGAATACAAAATAACAACAGTAGGTTTTCTGACTAAATCCACTATAGGGTGAAGAGAAACGTAACGATATTCCGCACGTTCACCAACGGTTTACCATTGATACCAGACAATCACAGAAAAGAATTTGTACTCCTCGTACCGACTTCGCCCAGATGAAACATTCGGTGTGGCAAGTCTTCCGGACGGGGTTAATCTGTGTCACTTCACTGGGCGCAAACGTCGTAATACTTTATGGGCTGCTCGTTATGCGTGCACACCACCGGCGCCGTTTACTGCGATTACCGCGGCACGGTGATAATCATATCTTATTATGTATTATTATTATTATTATTATTATTATTATTGTGCCCCATATTATAGTGGCGGTAGTCCGGCGGCGGTGTGAGCGCGTTCACTTTCGAATTGCGTCGGACTACAGCGGGTACGGACCGCATCGCCGCGGTAAGTAGTGGTCACGTTTGTTTTACCGTAATTCGCGCGATCGGGCAGTGTATATCGGAGGGAAAAACCGAAACGCGGTAAAAAAAAAAAACCGTAAAAAAGAAACGATACGCGCGGATAATGAGAATTGAAAAAATACTCGCGCCCGTCTCGTCCGATACACTCGATTGACGAAAAATATCGGCGCGAACCGTTATCGTAGTGTTGCGTCACGCAAACCTAGACGCCGGTCGCCTCGCTCCGTTTATCCCGTCAAAAAACACGTAACGAAAACGGCGGCGGCGGCGGCGTTTATTATGACGCGGACGGTCGTCATTGTACGGATATCATTGTGCATTACTACAACAACAGTTGACCGTCGCCCAAAACTCGTGTTGCGTCATCGGACGATACAGCCGGACGGCGTTACGACCGTCGGCCGCTACTTTATTTCAGATAGCAGAGAGAGAGAGAGAGAGAGAGACACGAGACACGAGACTACAAGAGCTATCGCTGTCAGAAAAAGAGGTGACATGCGGGGCACGGTTCCGGCGAAACGGGTAACGCAATCGGAAAACGGCGAGGGGGCGCCGGGGCAACAACACGAAAGTCGAAAAAAAAAAAAAAATCCGCCACATCCGAACCGGGCGTCCGCGAGTGAAAACGTTTTGTATTATTTTGCAAAACACTTCGGTTATCCCGTCATAGAAACGCGCTTGGACCCGTCGACGTGCCTCGGGTTACGCACAACGGCGGTATACGCCGGCCACAGTGAACGGCGAAAAAACAAATATACTGCGTCGTCGGGTCCGAACCGTCGGGAATTCCCGTCAAAAACGATTCGTGACAATGCCATTTTTGCCGAAATCCTCTGAACGCCAACGCACGCCGTAGACTCGCCGGGCCGCGGAACGATTACGAAACACCCGTGTTATGATATTTTAACGTACCGGGCGATCGACGACTGATAATGTCGCGCGTCGCGTCGGCCCGCTCGGTCCTCGAAACAATGTTGCGAAGCGCCGGCCGTAAATCGCGTCCGCGATTTTCCCGGGTGAAAGCTGCAAACTACGTATTACGTAGAATAATGGTAATTGAAAAAAAAAAAAGAAAAAGAAAAAAAGAGACGATGAGGCTCGTACATCCCCCGGGGGTTCCTCGGTCGTCGTGAACGGCGTTACACACACGATGATATTAAAGTTTTTTTTTCATTATTATAATACTCGTATTATATGAACGCGCGTATACAATAATAATAATACCTAAAAGAAAACGCGGCAGAGCACAATGCGATAAAAAGAAAAAAAACCCGAACGTTGCGTCAGTGTTATAGTTTCGGACTGGCGAACGATAGCCCGGCGGTGATGTTCGCGCGAGACCGCTACAATAATAATGATAATAATACGACAGTATAATAATACTCGCATAGAGAATATAGAGAAATCTCTACTCGTTTGTTTTTTCTTTATTATTATTATTATTATTTTTTTTTTTTCAATTAAATGTTTCGCTAATGAACGCGGCTAATAATCATCGTACCTGTGTGTGTGTACACTAGGTTTACGATAAGTCATTTTCGTGGCGCGTAGCACAAAAAACAAACACGATAATATCATATTATTATTATTATTATTATCGTCGGAGGTATAGGTATATGTATTAATACGTATGTACCGCTTTGTTATTAACCTCGTTTCGCCGGCGTTTGTGGGCAGGTAGGCGGGTAGGCACCCGCGCATAAGCTCGACGGGGGGGACTCCGCCGAAAAAAAAAAAAAATAGAACCTATAAACACACGACGTCTATAGTGTTCTGTACGTCCGCGCGGTCTTTGTATTACCACGTTATTGTTATCTGTGTCCGTGCGCGCGTGTGCCCACACGCACGCAATTATATTTTATAATATCCAATCCGTCTTGGTATATTGAAACGTATAACGTACGATTGTCCGTCAAGAATGCCCGCAAAACTGCTGTGCGCGCGCGAGTGCGCGCGCGAGTGTTTTGGACGGACTCGAACAAAATATCCGCGGCAACCCATTCCTCCCGGCGGCGCGGCGCTCGTGTTTTTTTTTTTTTTATTTTTTTTTCGCCGCGAAATCCGCGACCGACACCTGTTGTTTGTCTAACGCGCGCCCGCGCATACACGCGCTACATATCGCGTTGTGTATCGTTTGCCCCACGGAGGAAAAAAAAAAAAAAACAAACAAACAAACATGACGAATGAGTCTGCCAGCCGATTGATTTCGAAACAATACCGCGCGTGTACAATACAGACGTACAACGATACCGTTAGAGAAACAAACAAACGAGACATGCGATATCGCGTCGCGCATACATCATGGGTCGAGAATGCGGCACGCGCCGCCGAATAACGTCACGAATCACGCCACCGCAAAAATGATTTTCGAATATTGTCGTCTTAGAAACGTACAACGGTACAATGTTGTCGGTCTCGAATTGACGGCTCGAACGAAATGTCCGCCGGTGACATAAAAGGCCCACAAGTGTTTAGTGGGGGGAAAAAAATGTATTAGAAAAAAAAAAAAGATCCGTTTTTAATAATCATTTTATTAATAGATAAAAACTCATTGCTTTATAACTCTTAGAAAAAAAAAAAAATCGCATCCATATTTCAATATCTAGTGTTATACAATGTATACATACTGTCCACTATTGTACAGTCAATTCAGTAGTTTTGTTTAAAAATGTATAAGTAATGTGTTTGTTTGTACTTAATATTTATAATTCTTTTTACTTATAATTCTTAAATCGTTTCGAAAGCTTATGTAAAAATCATATTTCCATACGATAATCGCAGCATTTCAAAAGACGTTTAATCGAAATTCACTCAGAATCGTTTTTGTCGATTTTATCATCGCATACAGATATAAATAATAATGTTTTTGGTTCGTACGTCAAAACCGCATGACTCACGAATCTAACAGTGGCGCGCAGAGAACTTTTAAGTGTATGTGCAGTTTATTACGTATGGTTAACCTACCTTGAGTTTAGGAATACTCGTTTGAGAATTTTTTCGGACGAAACTCGCGTAAAGTACAGGCGTTTCTGCATAATTTCAGTTATCCGTAGCGTGACTTACACAGCTGTACCGCATTCTGCGCACTCTGTCCTTTTCTTTCGTCTAACGAACGTGCGATAAATTGCCGTCGGCGTGATGTAAACGAAATCTAATAAATTTATCCTATGAAAAAAAAAAAAAAAAATGCCGATATGGAGGAAAAATATCCGATCCCGTATCGATTAGCGTATCCCATCACAGTGCACAATATGATGTACGCCAGCGAAATCGTAAAATTGCATATTGTTTAAAAGCGATTTTTCGACTTTGTGTATTATTATTACGCTGTCGAAAGAAATTACCGATTCGATGGAAATTTATCGTGCATCGTACGATAACATTAACGATATTATAATGAAATATCGTGTGGAAAATCGAATAGTACGTGCGATACCAAACCTATACACGTATGTTCTGCCGAGAGCTGAATTATTTATGAAAACGAACGTATCTATTACGGGCACCGGAACATAATTGCGGACGTTCTGTTCTGGACGAATTGGCGAGTTTTCCGTAACGATATCACAACGTTCTTGCGTTAGGGGAGGAACCGGGAGGGGAGGGGTTCGCGTCAGTCGGCGAGGACGTCGACGTTGTGCGATGCGGCTCGTACATTATATTATTATAACGTTATGGGCGCCCGATCAACAAATAGTAAAACGTCCCCGGGTGTGCCGCGGAGAAGATTTATGCGGCTCCGATATACCTACTCCGCGGACGATGGTTACACGAAA